TAATACAACCTCGACACGATGTGTATGCATTGTCAATGGAGCTTCGCATCATGCTGGTAGGTTTCTTTTTCATTTTTGTTATCATTTTATTTTTCTTTAATTCTGAACACATGTTGTTAGGACACCTCTGTTTTTGTTTTAATTTCAAGTTTAGACCCAGTTAGCTGTCCTATAGCAGGTTCTCCCAAAGCATCCAGGAAAACAGTTGACTGTGAGGAAGATGTGTAGTCCAAAACATAAGCCTTGGTACACCTTTACCTTACCCACCTGGCAACAGTCTTTTCAAGGAAAAAATTAGGTTATTTCTAACTATTTTTAGAGTCGTGATGGTAAACCCCAACTACTATAGATAATTCTATTTCTGGGGCCAGAGCAGGTGACATTGTAACTTCAGCTGCATGTTACTACTGTCTGGCTGTCTGAATGGTCTCCACAAAAACCAACATGGGTTTCACTTTCTGCACAGTATGTCACTGTATATAGGTCGTTAAGTCCCTCAATGTTGTTTTCATCCATTATCTTACCTCAAATTTAGAGTTTTATATTCTCATCTGAAGTTCTTATTTGAATGCATATTGTTCTAAATCCCAGAGCTTTTCATGAAGAAAAAACATATCAGTCTTTAGTTAGAAATGGACATAACAAAAACTGTTAATTTGACACACACATACGCATCCAGCCTGTCCAGTTGGATAGCAGTACAGCGCTTGTTTAATTATCTGTGTTTTGTTTTTGTTTGTTTTTCCACAGGGGACCTTGTGTACAATGTCACTGATGGGTTAGGGTGGTGTTATGCTGCATTTTGCAATGCATCTTGTGAAATTGAGACGCAGTCCAGTCCATGTCCTGTGACACCAAGTGTGCCCACTACTGCACACTCTACAACTACAGTATTCAGCACTACTACAAAGGCCACAATTTCCAGCTCAGTACCTCTGACAACAACTAGTCCTGCCTCCTTTACTTCAAGTACATCAATAACTTCATCTACTCAAAATGTCTGCAATGAGGTGTATCCACCGAGACAGGTGTGACATGATTACATATGTTTTTATTATTTATTGAGTGAGGGCAATGTATGGGCTTTTTGTTAAATACCATGTTGGTGCTGGTGTGACACCCTGAACCTGACTGCAATAATAGCTATATCTATTTTTTTCATTTACCACTGTGGTGCCTTGGTGAATACCAGTTGAGAGGCTGTAGAGTGTAGATCCACAATAGAGCATTTGGTAATTCCAAGTCCATGGTGTTGATTTGCTGATAATAGGCCTACCTTAGTGCACCACTGTGTACAGCTATGCGGTATGAACGCGGTATGAAAAGAAAAAGAACGTTTGGATACTGCTAGCATAATTGACAGGTTTTTAACGGGGCTTCCATACAAACAAACGCAATATGCATCATATTTGATGCATATTTGGAGCATCAAATATGATGCTCCAAATATGAAACATCATATTTGGCGATGTTTCATATTTGGAGATGAAACATCGCCAAATATGTTTCCAAACCAACTTCATTCCAAGCCAAAAACTAGAAAATATGGTGAAGCAAATCTGCCCTTTGGCTTCACCTGCACAAGTGCCGAGGTAGGTCTCCCCACGCGTTGGGCTCTCCAAATCACGGACAAACAGTATCCTACATTCTTGATTTTTAGTTTACAAACACTTCTTATAATGATTAACTACTCCTGACATTTTGCTCTTTATA